GGGGGGGGAAAGGGGGGAAGGGGGAGAGCGAGCAGGCTCAGTCAACAGCCTTTGGTGCGCGAGCCCTCATGATCATGTATGCCGTTTCCGAACCCTATTCAGTTGAGATACCTTCCCTGGTTACATAGCTCTGGGGGCTAAAGCGGGACCGTTGCGGTGATCTACTTACGTTCGTGAGAGCGGACGGGAGGTATAGCTGCATTGGCCATAGCATCATGTTGGTGAGCATTCTTGGGTGATTGGCGTTGACTAGATGCATCACAGGTCTCCCCGGGTAGCCTCTCGAGCGCTAGCGTAGGCCCGTCGGTCGATTCTCGTGCATCGCAGCTCAATAATGCGTTCTAGCTGAGCTTCAAAGATCTGAGTTGTAGGCCTAGATGCGGCGCAAAACAATCGGGATGAAAAATTGGACGCATTCCGGACGCGTAGCTTTTGTAGCTTGTCGTAGCAGCAGTCAAACGTTGAAGCCCGCGGTCGACGTTTGCGCGAGAGAATTCCCACTCAGCCTTTGGTCTTGCACCAATTGCACCGCTTCCTCGTTCTGCTGCACACGATACATGCGCGATCATCAACTGCGTCCAAGATTGCTATCAAAGCCGCCCATATCAGCCGATACAGCCATCAGCGATTCATCTCCTGGCCAGGCTGCGGCGAAGCGCCTCCTCTATTGCCGTCGGATTATCCGCGCCTTCAGGGTCCAACACCTGTGCCAGCTCGGACTGAACCAATTCATTGCGCAGTTGGTCACAAGGTCGATCTTTTGCGCGCAACGGGCTGACTCGGATAAGGGATAATTGAAGCCGATGAAGAGTGTATCTAGGTACGCGCAAAGATGGAAGGACATGCGTAGCCTGCCATAAGCCCTTCCCGCACGAGACAGCATGCGCATTCAAGAATCAAAGCCGTCGATGATAGTGGGCAACTATGTGCGTACACCTCGTTTTGTGGCTCGATCGTGTTCAAGGTCATTGAGGAGCGTCTCCGGGTACCATGATCTCGAAGACAATTTCGATTTCTTCCATGAAGGCAAGATGGTGTCATCCACGAATCTCCTAGGTCATGTTCTGAATTAAAAGGCGATGTCAGCCCGCTATGCCAACTCTTGCCGGAGTACCGCATTTGCAACCGTCGACAGGACTTCCGTACGCCACTTTGCAAAGCTGCATCACGCTCACGAAGACTCATACGTGTACGCGACAGAGTCCTGGCGACTCTTGTGAACTATCACAACCGCCAAGGCCCGACTAGCGGGTCCTCGACGAGCCGACTTTTTATCATGCGACCTGGTTCGTCCATATCTGAGACCCCTTCAGTCTTGGTTAACCTGGTGGTTCATGTAGAGAAGCGACGAGCTGCATGTCGTATACGGAGCGTCGTGCGAGAAGAGAGAAGCGAGCAAATTCTACGCATATGAATTCATCTTCCACTGCCTATAACAGCTCCTCAAGAGGTCAGACACGTTCAGAGTCGGTAGGCACGATCGATATACAAAGAGCGTTCGATGCTGCGTCCCGCAAAGCTGTCTTGTCCTGCCCTAAACGCGTTGACCCGTCAGGAACGGGAATGGTCCGACGTGCATATCGGAGCGGTCCGGAGGCCAAGACCGGCACCATCGCCTCCCGTCGTGTCGTTCGTATTGTATTTCTGAAGTCCCTTTGATTTTCCTGTATCTCTGCCCCCGTGTTCGCCTGCGCAGTGGTTGAGCTTTCTTCGATACGGACTGTCTGACTCACGAAATAAGGTTAAGCGCCGGTGCCTTTGACTCCACTGCACCGACGAAATTGAGCACAGCCACGATGACTAACCGGAGCCTGGTGCGGGGTGCCGCAAGTCCGAAGCGCATCTTGAGCTTTTGACCGTCCCCATCCTTCTCCAAAGTCCACCCACCGTGGCCCTCATCCGCTTCCACCGAGCCCATCGCGCTCTTACACTCCCCCTCTGCAGACACAAACCCCCTTGACTTGTTGTATGCACACCGTATTCCCCGCTTATCACTACTCTGCAGACTCGAGCGACTCTCCTTATCCGTCATGCGACCCAAATCAGCAGCCCGCGAACCGAGGAGAAGTGGCAGACGTTGCTCGTCCGTCGCTGCCGAGGCTGGTTACGGTGGAGGAAGACGCGGGAGACGCGGGGGCGCCACTTGATCAAGACCAGATAGCGTCGGAGCTGTTCCTGTCGTCCCCGAGCGCGAGCCACCTCTTCTCCTCATCTGCGCCGGAGCCGATCGTGCTCTCCCCCGCAGCCTCCCAAGATGCCGATATATCTTCCTCGCCAGCGGCGATGTTCCTAGCTAGCTTTAGTCCCGTCGTTCAATCTACATCCGCTCCCTCCTTCGCGCCCGACGACGAAGGCCAGGTCGTCGCAGGGTACACGTTGGGGCCCATCATCGCCCGCGGCGGTTTCTCAGTCATCAGGCGCGCAAGCTCCGCCGCGGGCGGCACCGTCGCCGTCAAGATCGTTCGCCGGTCCGAGATCTCCAAGCAGCCCGACGCCGCGCTCGTCCGCAAGAAGCTCGAGCGCGAAGCCGAGACGTGGGCCTCGCTCAGCCACGAGCACATTCTCCCGCTCTTCGCGTCCTCTCACACCGCCTTCGCCGACTTCTTCGTGATGCCGTACTGCCCCGCCGGCACGCTGTTCGACATCCTCTCGCGCGAAGGACGCCCGGGGCTCCCGCCGGACGACGCGGGCATGCTCTTCCGCCAGGTCGTCCGCGGCCTGCGCTACCTGCACGAAACCGCCGAGATCGTGCACCGCGACATGAAGCTCGAGAACGTGCTCGTCGACGAGTCGGGTATATGCCGTATCGCGGACTTTGGCATGGCGCGCCGCATCGGCGAGGCGGGCGAGGACGAGGAAGACGTCATCGCGAGCTCGCAGTCGATGAGCTTGCCCGCGGCTACGGCGGCTGCGGCGTCGACGCTGTTGAGGAGGAAGAGCACGCTTGCGCCGCGGGCGCTGCGCGAGCGGATGCAGCAGCATGCCCGGCGGAAGGCGTCCAACCCGCTCCCGTCTTCCGCTGTACCGCAGGCCCACCAGGCGTACGAGTCGGGCTCGCTGCCGTACGCGGCGCCGGAGCTGCTCATCCCGCACGAACGCGCGCTCCCGGCCGATCCCGCGCAAGACATATGGGCCCTCGGCGTGATGCTCTACGCCCTTTTGGTCGGTCGACTGCCGTTCATGGACTCCTTCGAACCCCGGTTGCAGATGAAGATCCTACATGGTACGTGGACTGCCGCAAATGGGACGAGAACGGCGTTCATGTTTCCTTTCTAGGGGTGTACGAGCGCGTGCCGAGCATCGGCGCCGAAGCGGAGCGCGTCATCGACGGATGCCTGGAGCGTGACGTCGACGAGCGTTGGACGATCGCGATGGTAGACGACGTCGCGTGGGGCGTCGGGTGGAACTCCGTCGTCGAGCCGCCCTACGAACCCGAGGCGGAGCGTCGGTCGCGCCACCCCAGTCGCGTGCAGCGCCGGTCGCTCTCCCGGTGTCCCATCGCGTCCCGTTCGTGCAGCCGCGATCGCCCGCCGTCTCTCAGCCCGGAGCGTCGACGGCGCCGCTCCCCGCCCGACTCGCTCGGTCCAACGTCTCCGAGGCGCTCCTCGCTTTCTGCGTCACAGGGAGTACTCGCGTCCCCAGTATCGGCCACGGGCATCCTTAGCCCGACCACGTCTCTCTCCTCCACATTCTCGACCTCTCTGTCCTTATCGGACTCGCAGGAACGGACAGAAGCCCGCCAGCGGTCCGAATCGCGTTCGCCCCTGCCGCCCACGCCGACCGATAGCACGATCCCGCTCCCATCAGTAGATCGTGGCCGTAAGGGCTTCCGCGGCGAGCTAGGCTCGGTATCCAGTCCGCTCGTTCGCGAACTCGTCCTCGGCATACGCGAGGAAAAAGAGCCCATCGAAGAGCTCGCCCTCCCCGAAGCAGAGGCTACCGCGGTCCCCGTCGACGTCGAACAGAGCCCCGAACGCGGCCGGCGGCGGCGCCCTACGAAACGCGCTGGAACAAGCGTTTCGGTCCCTGCGAGGCAGCCTCGCGGGCGGTCGCACGGTCATGACGCCGCCCCGTGGCTTATGGGAGACAATGCGGGCTGGAATCCGTCGCCGTCGAGGCCTGCGCCGCCGGTGGAGTGGAACGCGGACGACACGGCCCTGCCGACGCCGAAGCTTTCGGGCGCCAAGGGCGCGTTGAGAAGCAAGAGCGTCGGCTTCGAGCTTCGGAGAGCCCCTCTGCGTCGCGAATCGGACACTGTTCATGGTCTCTAGGAACCCTCATTCAACCAACCTCTCGCCCACCTCTCTTTTACTCGGGTCCCCGAACGTCGAAAGATACGTAAATATCACGATGATCTGTTCGTGTTGTGGATATCCCCCCACGTCGTAAGGACGTCATGCACATATGAATCACTTGTACGCTTTTCTTCACGGGTTTATGTGTAGTGCATATGTTACGTTGCTGTATATCGTCCGTGTTCGATATACCCCCTTCTCCCTCCTATCTCTCGCAAATTAGCTTGTACATTAGCACAGCAATCCTAGCTTCCTCAGATATCGATGGCAATGCCTTGGGATGTTGCATTAAGTAATGTAGCCCGACGGATGGCATCCATTGAGTCCAGCTCGACTCGCCCGCCCCCCAGATCACGGTCTTCGACTGGGGCCCACGTTTACCCCTGGAGGGCTCGACAATCCACCGCCTGTGGGGTTGTCCCTTAATAAGCCATACACGCGTAGGCAGCAAACCACGTTTTTTGCCGCCAAAAAAGGTAATGGCAAGACGGCGAAGCTCGTCAACCAGGCTGCGCTGACGGCCATCTCCACCGACTTCTGCTTCACCGGAGTCTTCGCGCTGCCCAAACCCGCCGTCGCAGAACAACTTGGGAATCGGTCAACGTTTGTCTGGACGACTCGGGACATCGCGGCGGGCGCGATAGCGGCGAGCGGGGCCTCGGGAGGCATCTATGGGAAGGTCGCCGGTGGTGGAGAGTGTTGCGTTTGTCTCGTTGACGCCGGACGCGTTCGCCCCCCAGTTTGGCGTCAGATACGTTGTTCTGCAGAGCGCTACAGACTGCGGTTGTCGTGTAAGCCGGACTGCATGCACCGGGAGCTGAAAGCGATCTCCTACGTGGCTCGGATATTGCCGGATGATGATAATGATGTGTATGCCTGGAACTCACATATGCCATGATATGGTCAAATCGATCGCTTATGAGCAATGGGCACGAAGATACGACCATGATGTCTATTGCTCGACGTATCGGCTAACCGGTGCCGCATTATATCCTACAGTTGTCGAGGTTGAAGATCATGATGTCTTCGGCGCCGACGTCCATTAGCTCGTCCATCACTTTCGCCACCTTGCTCTTTTCCACCATGCTGAAGTCGCATGAGCACGATGCTTGCACCGTGATAGGAGAACAATTGAGGGCATACCTGCTGACAGCAACCCATCCCTCGTCCTCCAACGGCGAGATCGTCGGCGCTCTCCGCCCCGGAGTGATCAATCTCGCGGCTGATATCCTGTCACGCGCGATGTTGTACTATAAAGTGACGACGGTCAGTTGTGTCTGCTTCATGCCCTACAGATACTGGCACGTACTTCGCAAATGACATATCTTGAAGCGGCAACGACACCCGCTATGCGCCTCGTGATGAGGTCGATTATGGGCGCGTGGTTGGGGGACTTGGAGTTTGTTGACTTGATCAAGACTGCCTCGCTTTCGAGAAGGGTTCCTATAGCGTGCAAACCGGCTGCGCGCATGGTGTCGCCAGACTCTGGAAGTTCGATGAGTGGAGAGCTCAGGATAATGGTATTGTTGACCCACCAACAAGATCGACTATGGGAACGGCAATCAGTAAAGCTACGTGCGGACATTTTCCCCGAGACTCACCGATACCGTCCGCAAGCCCTAACGAGCAAGCGGCCTCCACACTCCCGCCGACGTACTCAATGATCGTACCCTCACCCTCCTTCTTGCCAACTCGCTGATCCACCTCCTTGAAATACTGGCCCGCGAGGACTTCAAAGCTCGTGACGATCCTCTTCCCGCTTAGACTCTCGATTGTCTGGTACGGTCCGCTCTCGGGAACCTGTACTTGCAGAGCGCACTTGCCGAAGTTGAGGCGAAGGACCTCCGTAACGTGGGCTTGCATCTCGGCCTCCAGAATGACGTCGTGCCCGGTTATGCCAAGGTCAACGTTACCCTTGCCGACGAAGGAGGGGATGTCGGATGCAGGAAGGAACACCCTAACCAGAGGCGCGGTTCAGACATTACGACGTGTGGGGAGTGATGATCGCACGTACAGAGCTATTGGGTGGTTCTTGACCAAGCATACATCTAACCTCGCGTGTCTGCGGAACTGAATGTCGGCTCCTGTATCGAGCTTAGGCTCGCCGAGACACTGAAACTTGTAATGGAGACCTGCCTACGAGAAGTTCCAGGCATTTTTCATGCAATCGACCTATAGGCAGTCGTCAGACTAAGTCGCCATGGAATTCGAGCACACGAACGTTCCTTTCTTAGGGATAGCGAAAAGTAACCGTCCATCGAGAGCGTCGGCATCTATCGTTCATTTCGTTATTTTCGCGCTTCCCTCGAGCAATCTGCATGAACGCACTCATCGCGATGTCTTTTTTGTGGTTAGTCGGACGCGAGTCTCCTCTTTCGACCGTTACCGGCGACAGTGACTATGAGAGCGAGGTCGAGGACCAATCGAGTCAAGGGTAAATCCATGGCAAAGAGGTAAAAGCAGCAGATCGGCAAATCCGATCAAGTCCGACCCTAAACTGGGGAGCCCCATTCTACAGCTTGACTCTCAGCACACTATTTAAACCTCATCGGCTATAGGGAACAGGACACATTCCGACATGTAAATCCCTTTCTGCTGGTGAGAGGTGCACACTCTTGCTGGCTGGAGTTCCATACGTGGAAGTACCATAGTCGTTTTATAGTTGCTGTGAGCGTCGTTGGGATGGCATCTGGATCTGCGGCGGGTCATGAAATAGAGTTATGGATCTTGTCCTCATTACATTACCGAGCACCCCGTGTATATATATGGTCAAATATAAGGCAGACGTATGTACTCAGCGAAGGGGGCCATGGGGTGGCCGGCATCCTAGAGCAACGTTCCCCATCTCTCGTATTTTTGCACTATATCGGGTGTGATCTGTCTCCTCGACGCCTGGGCGGCTGCGAGAAATGCTCTGAAAGGAACCTAAAAGCCCGACATCACTGTCAGCGGCTGTCCTATTATAAACGGGATCAGGGCACCGACATATGGAGCTTCAATGTTCTCTTTCATCGTCATAAGCGCGGCTTCTTGACAGAGCGCGACGAGCTCGGCGCCGGAACAACCATCGGTCTGGATAGAACGTTGTTAAATGGGTTCACGCTTGAGGCAAAATCTAACTCACAGCGGCTGCCAACTCGGAAAGTCGGTCCAAGACGTCGGGACCAACACTCATGTTTCGCATACGAATACGGAGGATCTCTTCGCGCCCATTTCTATCAGGTGGTCCAACATAGATGAGGCGGTCCAAACGTCCGGGGCGCATGAGCGCAGAATCCTGCATTAGGCTGTTCTCAGGATCGTTTGGAACAGGGAGATCCGCACTTCGCTTACGATAGCGTCAGGCAGATTCGTTGCAGCGACGACGGTCACGCCCAAACCCATCTCTTGTACGCCATCCATTTCCGTCAGCAAGGAGGTGAGGACGCCTTCGGTCACTGAAGATGTGTTGGTTGATCGCGATGTCGCTAAGGCATCGATCTCATCCTGTACGCCAGCATTTAGTATGCGAAGGCCCTAGATCGGTGGAAGTGCGTACGAAAAAGAGGATGCAAGGCGCTACGCCCCTCGCTTTGCGGAATATTTCCCTGACAGATCGTTCGGATTCGCCGACGAATTTGTTCAGAAGCTGTGAAGAAGACAAGGTTTAGGAGCCAATCGAGTTCGCCTATCAAGGGAGCATACTTCAGGTCCCTTGACAGAAACGAAGTTAACGCCGCTTTCGCAAGCGAGGGCCCTGACCAGCATCGTCTTGCTACATCCAGGCGGGCCATAAAGCAGGACACCTCGAGGCGCACGGACGCCCAACCGCACGAAAGCATCTGCGACAAGCGAATGAGCCGCGTACACCGCGGGAACAGCGTTTTACTCACCCGGATGCTGTAAGGGCCACTCGACACACTCGCGTAGCTTTTGGACGACATCCGAAAGCCCGCCAATGTCACTATAGCGGACTGGAGTCTCTGTCCCGGGGAGGTACAACGACCGCAGCGCTGACGGGCGTACGCTTGGCAGAGCCAGCAGGAGGTCCGCCTGCGTGAGAGAAGGCTTATCACTGTCCGGTGGAGGATACTCCGTATCATTCCCATGAAAGTTGGGTATGCGGGATGCATCTTCCGTAACCGGAAGCGTATCCGGGGTAGCTGGAGTGGGAGGTAGTGATTTGGACTCCTGCCCACCAGGTGCATCTGGCAGTGGCCGAAGGGGATAGTTCGATGACGGCTGAGATGATAGCCATCGTTTGATGGCGCGTGTACCTGCCTCTCGTACGACCGCGGCGAGGTCCGCGCCGACATACCCATGCGCGCGCGCTGCTACGGATTTCAGGTCCGTCTGCGAGATGGAATGAGGTGTGCGGGAGAGGAGAACGTTGAGGATGGAAAGCCGGGCAGTGGCGTCTGGTATACCTACGCACACCATATCAGCTGAGCTTCCACGACTGTACATTGGTCTTACCGATCTCAATCTCCCGGTCAAAACGCCCAGGCCGGCGTAAAGCGGGATCAATGGCGTTAGGTCTGTTCGTAGTGGCGACGACGACCACCCTGCTCATTGTCGCGTTGTCTCCGACAGTTCCCGCATCCGTCCCTTCGTTATCTACCTCGAAGCCGTCCATGATAGTCAGAAGTGTCGCCACAACGCGCTTTTCCACCTCTCCCCCGCTACTGTCCTCCCTTCGAGGACAGAGGGCATCAATCTCGTCCAAAACGACGATGCAAGGGCTCTACACGGAAGAATGAAGACGCGTAATCGCAGCGAAGAACGGTGAATGACAAACCTGCTCCCTCGCCTCTTCGAAGACGCCACGAAGCCTGGCCTCCGTTTCACCATGGTATGCCGACGACAGTTCGGGACCGTTGATGATGATCACCGAGGACCGGGTAGACGCAGCAATGGCACGTGCTAGATGGGTCTTGCCCGTTCCGGGAGGCCCATGTAGTAAGATGCCGCGAGGTGGCTTAAGCCCTGGTTAGGGTGTAAGCTGGAGTTGACTGTCGAGGAGGTAGTTTAGTCACACCAAAATGCCTGAAGAGTTCAGGACGCGTCAAAGGGATCTCCAACAGATCTCTAATCTGAGCTATCTGCTTGTCGAGCCCTCCAACGGTGTTGTAGGCAGTTTCTAACGGCGCAGGGATTGGCCATGGAGTGCCGAGTGATGATGGTGCCTCTGAGCCTACGGAGCGACCACCTTGCGACACAAGTGATCCCGGCAAGCGCGAAAATTGTGCCTGCCCGTTGACAGCAACGTCTGGCGCCGTCGAGGGGGCATACTGGGAGATCACAGATACCTGGCGGGACACCCCAGTATGTGTTAGCGAACTCAGCGCGCGAGTCGGCGTATCTTCTATTACGACAGTCGTGTCCCATCCGACTGTCCATATCTGACCTGGTAGTTCTGGAACCACGGATAGGTGTCGGAATTCTGCGACCAGCCCGGATTCCTCGACGGGATGGGATATCCTAGGTGACACAAGAGGTTCGGACCTGGTTCGAGTGCTCGACGGGCCGGTAGGCCTAGGATTGGTGGAGATCGAGCTGATAATGAAGGAACGGGGAACGCCTTCGTATGTTGCGACGAGAACCTGACTGGTGGTCACATATTTCAAGTCGACTGCTCGGGAGTCAGATTGTCGTTGGGCTTTGATTTCCGGAGGACTGACCGAGTAGTTCCCTCAACAATAGTGCAAGCCACTCTCGTCTCCTTCCTTGGTCCGCCTTCGCACCTCTCGCGCGTGTTCGTACTCCCTCGGCAAAGGAAAGGCCATCCGCCGGTGGTTGTGACCCTGATGCTGGGGATGGAACCTCTTTCAGGCTAACATAAAACGCCTCCCGTATGGATTGAGCATTCGGAAGGCCGTATGGAATTTGCTTTCCGGAGAGTGGCACAATACGCGCTGTGGAGCTCTCGCTGAGCTTCGCTGTCTGAATCATGGTAGAAGATGCCTCGATTTCTACCAGGATGGGGCAATGGATAAGGGTGCTGCCTAGAGACGGACTGAAGTCCTTATGCTCACCGGTAGGAGAGATCTCCATGGACGGCCATACTACTCCCACAGCAAACGGCTGTGAACGCGATCGACCCATACTTGAGTGTCTTCCGTTCACTCATGACGTCGTAGATGTAGATGTTCGTACTTTGCTCTCCTGCGCCTCGTTTTTGGTGCCAAGAAGCGCGACGACATCGCCGGCGTACAGTTTCGCTGCACTAAGTACTTCGGCGTGCACAGTTATTCTCCTCACAGCTCGGGGGTCCGCATCCAGAGGCCCGCTGAGCTTCACAACGAATGCACGTCCGTGTATTGTGCTGGTAGCCATGATGCCAGCGCCGCGTTTGTTGCGCCGGAGGACCGATCGCCTCAAGTATGGGAGGAGGAAGAAATAGTGAGCTTGATTACGGCGGTGAAAACAAGATACGGGCTCTCAATCGACAGGAGTGGGCCCAGCGCCAAAACATTCAATGTTCATCACATGTTACACTGGATGGCCCTCAGAACCGGAAAACTCCGACTGTGTGTGGTATCATCGCACAGCTCGCCATGGGGCGAAGCTGTCGACCTCCTGCGACCTCCAGACAATACCCTAGGAGTAGGTCTCTCACACTCGCACTCCGATCACCGGAATCTACCATATGCCTGGAACATCGAAAATGTATTCATTCGTTCCTGGTGTGCGGTGCTGCAGGATCATATGTTTTGTAGGACTCTTGACGGGCGTGCTCCGACGGTCTCTCAGGAGTCACTCGTGGCCTCTATGTTGCGGAGGCTTCATGCTGTGCCTGCCGCCACCCGCCGCCTCAGTTTCCCAGCCCTCATCTGCCTATTGCTGTAGCCGCTTGTCTGCATATGTTTGATCTATGCGGCCACCGGCCACACTCGACATACAGGCCATGGTGACTTCTTCGACACGGTCACATGGCAACATCGTGATTGTACAGCACTCCCAGCGTTCGGTATATGAACGCGCACCTTGCGCAAGGATCTCCAATATACTCCATTTTCTGCTCCTCCGAGGACGCAAGGTCCCAGCTTTAATGCCTCCCTCTCAAGAACTCAACATACTCGCGGATGCATACGCCGAATATTCAGAGCAGGAAACCGGCTCGCGCTTCTGGCTTTTCCCCCGCAAAGGCGGCGGCGGACGAGGTGGTGGCGGCGGCAAAGGAGGAAGCTCGAAGGGCGGCGGTGGCAAGGGCGCCAAGGGCCGTGCCTCAGGGTCCGCATCTGGAACCGGCAAAGTCTCGCCGTCCAAGTTGAATACTGGCCGTGCTGTATCGGCGGCGGCCTCGTCTACGAGCAAGGGTGGCGGTAAGAAGTTCAAGCTCGGGAAGACGTCTGCATTCCCTGGGCGGCAGGCGGGAGGTGGAACTAGGGTAAGCTTTCTGATACTTGATGCGTTGGGACTATTTGGACCGATGTTGTCTTTCGCAGAAAGAGATCTATGGTACCTGGGTATACGGGAGTGGCTACCCCTATGGTCACCCTGGGTCCTTCGTCTCCGGGCGCCCGTTCCCATACGTTTTCTGGCCTGTACCTATCGAGGATGGCTATGTCGGCGCCGATGAAGTGAGCATTCAATTGCTTTACTTTTGTGCTCCTGCTGACAGCCGATGTTTCATCATAGTACGCGCATCACAGCGGTACGGTCCGTCCAGGTGGAAACTTGACGACGGTGCCGATCAGGTCCAACATATCCACGACGCTCGAGACGTTCCGCATCGTCGGCGATAACACCTCCGTCACCTCAGTCCTCGCCGACCTCATGAAGACGTGCGGCGTCGTCAACTCGACCGATTCCTTATCCGTCTTCAACGCCTCCGTCCCTCTCCAGAACATCCCAAAACCGGAGCAGATTGTGCAATGGTACCGAGCCTCTACCTTTGGACTCTCTCTCGACGGATACAACAACACCGCCGCACTGCCGTCGAATGCCCCGGCGAACAACGCCTCAAACTGGACGGTCACGGCGCAGACTCCTCTTCCCGCAATCAACATGACGTTTTTGGCATGCCTGAACACTACAATTGCGGCAACGCTCCCGCTCGTCGCTGCGGAGAACGTGCGCTGGATCGACCGATTTGGTGGCATCGCGGGCTTTGTCGACATGGTGATTTGGGGCTTTTCGGCCCTCTTTACCATAGTGGTGTGGATATGCAGTTGCGTGTGTTCGTGACCGAGAGGCAGTAGACATAATTTATAGTCTATGTACTTCGGAAAATCGATGCATCTGCTGCTGTGGATGGGAGATTGATTGACTCGCCATGCTTCTGTTAAGCTGTAACTTATAGGCACCGAACATGTACTGTATACTTTGAGCGACGTACGTTGACCAGGTATAACCTTAAAAATCACGCTTTTGTCACGTTTTGGCAAAATGTCACTGTGACGAGCCCCACCCGACTTGTCCCTCACCTCTTTGCGTGTATGCAAACTAGGCCGGGGTTCGGGGTGGTGCGGTATGGCTCGTCGATGGCATGATACGTAACGGGTATACGTGCTCAGACTTCCAGATAGCTCTCAAATTACCGGTGTCATACTTTGCTGGCACAACCTTCGTTGCTGCTTGCGCTTACCTGCGAGGTCATCTGCCATGGCTTTGGCGGGCGCACTCCGACGGATTTCATGATGAATGCTATGGACATGGCTTTCATGTCGTATACAAATGCTGTGTTCGCTGGCAATCGCGGTCTTACTCGTCTCAGCTCCGATCTGTCCGGTGCTATAGAAAGCGGCACGGCATGTCTACTACCTGGTGTTGGATTCACCTCCGGCATCGGCAATAATTATCCTGCAGGAGGGCACATGGCTATTCCTCTTGGCGTTGCCGGCGGTGCTTCTGTCCACATCATGTGGACTTCTTGATTGTTTAGCACCGGCCTCAGGGTACTTCAAGACGAGATTCCCTGTGTAGTATTCGATATTTTCACGACGATCCCATACCCCTTTACTCTTGGGACGCTTTTGTTCTGCTATGTCTCCATCGTTCCAACGAAACGCGCTCGCGGACGCTTACGCTGAACATCCCGAGCAAGAGACCGGTTCGCGTTTCTGGCTCTTTCCGCGCGACGGCGACGGCGGCGGCGGCAAGAACGCGAATGATCGTGCATCGGGATCCGCGTCGGGAAGCGGCAAGATCTCGCCATCCAAGCTGACTGACGGCCGCGAGGTGTCCAGCGCAGCTTCGTCTACCAGCAAGGGCGGCGGGAAAAAGTTCAGACTCGGGAAGAAGACTGCGTTCCCTGGGCGGCAGGCCGGCGGTGGGACTAGGGTCAGTCCACGCACATACAATGCGTTGAAAGCAGTCCGAGCTGATGTGGATGTCTTGCAGAAAGATATTTTCGGTACCTCGGTGTACGGGAGCGGCTACCCATATGGTCATTCTGGGTCCTTCGTCTCCGGGCGTCCGTTTCCCTATATCTTTTGGCCCGTACCGATCGCGGTAGGCTACGTAGGCGCAGATGAAGTGGGTCGTGGAGCGTCATAATCTCGTTGTCCCAGTCTAACCATTCTCCCAGTATGCGCATCACAACGGCACGATCCGTCCAGGCGGGAACCTGACGACGGCGCCGATCAGGTCCAACATGTCTACGACGTTAGAGTCCTTCCGTATCGTCGGCGACAACACTTCCGTCACGTCCGTCCTTGCCGATCTAATGGAGAAATGCGGCGTCGTTAATTCCACCGACTCCCTCTCCATCTTCAATGCCTCCCTTCCTCTCCAGAACATCCCGCAGCCAGAGCAGATCGTGCAATGGTACCGCGCCTCGACCTTCGGGCTCTCGCTCGACGGGTACAACAATACCGCCGCACTTCCGTCGAACGCGCCTACGTTCGACGGAGGCACCTGGACGATCCAGGTGCAAACGCCTTTGCCTGCGATCAACACAACCTTCTTGGCCTGCTTGAACGCCACGATCGCTGCTACGTTGCCGCTGGTCGCTGCAAAGACTGTACCGTGGTACCACAAGATTGGAGGCCTCGCGGGCCTAATAGATCTGATATTTTTGGGCATTACGGCCCTCGTTGGCGTATTGATCTGGACATGCATTTGCGTGTTGCGGTAAATCCTTCTTCATCGAGATCTTACAAATGGACTTCAGCCAATTACTGTGATTTTCATGATGCTATACATCATATAACTAGTACTAGCAGCCAGTGTAGCCAAGTCAATCATACTATACACTGTAAGTACTTTCCGGGCCAGCCTGCTTCGGCGGGCAAGAATTCAATGATTATCACGTGTTTTGTTTGGCCGGGGCCAGGACCTGACAGTGACACTGACAGTAGGCGGACGTTGGCTTGATCTCTGCCAAGACTCATCACCTGGGCTATAGAACGAACGACCTCCACATTACACGTTGCTCCCTTTGACATCACGATGGACTCATGGATCCGGCAAAATCATACCGTTAGCGCGGCCTCAGTGATGGACGCGGTGCATACGTAGTATCGTTACACGTGTGTTTCTTTCGCCCCATGTCTTGCATCGCCCCGGATCTATGTCCTGGCAGGCGATTCGCTGGGCGCGTTCAATGCGAGCTGTGCGTTCCGATGATGCTATCGTGATACAATGCGGGTTGCTTACGAGACACTTCTATCATGACAGGTTCAGGCTGCTCCGTCCAGCTCATGGTCTCTGGTAGCCATCGACATCGGTGGTCGAGCTGCATGCGTGAGGAACACTCTGGGTACCCACCCCCTCACAGTGGTGTCTTTGTACACCCTATATGCTACCCCCGCTTTTACAGTCAGGCGTGCGCACCGGCGCGCTCACAATCCACCCTTGGCTCGTTTGCGTTCTCCATGAAACCGTACACGACGAAGCCGCAATGCCTCCGTCATTCTACGACTATGACGCCGCCAACGCGTACTCGGAGCACCCAGAACACGAAACCGGGCTGTTTCCCCGCAAAGGTGGAGGCGGGGCGGGAGAGGCGGCCGTGGATGGGGCGGCCGTGGCAATTCCGGAAAGGGCAGCGAATCCAAATGTGGTGGTAGCAAGGGTAGCAGCGGGAAAGGTGGTGCCGATTCCCTGAAGCAGCGTGGCGTCGTCGTGTAGCTTGGGCAGGGGAGCACGGTGTCCGGCATGGCGTCCTCCGTCAGCAGCGGCGGAGGGAAGAAGTTCAAGCTCCAGATGCGCCGTTTTCCGGACGACAAGCGGGCGGTTGTACCAGGGTCAGTGGCCCATCACATAGCTTGCGTTGATCCCATATTTTGACGTCGTTGTTTCGTAGAAACAAATATATGGATCCTCGCCGTACAGGAGCGGCTATCCGTAATCGCCTCCGTTCCTCTCCTGAACAACCCGCAACCCGAGCAGATCGTACAATGGTACCCTTCGGCCTCTCGCTCGACCGCTACAATGAATCGCCGCGCTCCGCTCGAACGCGCTGGCGACCAACGCGTCGAACTGGACGATCCAGGCGCAGACGCCTCTACCCGCGATAAACGCGACCTTCCTAGCGTGCTTGAACACCACGATCGCGGCTACCCTGCCTCTCGTCGCCGATTATTATCTCATGTACTTTTTCCTGATCATGGCGTTCGCTGTTACTGCTGGTTCTGATCTATCATTATTTCAGCATGTATTTCCACTGTTTGACATGGATGCGTAGGAGTAGATTGTAGGATACTACTGTTAATGTCCACACGAATGCAACCGTTGGAGAACATGAACTTGCCCGTGGACGATGTCACGATATCGTGTGGCTATGGCCTGGATGAGTGGCGCGCACCACGATGAGCAATCCGCCTTCGCACTTTCTCGGATGCTCGATAACAGGTTAAGATATACGGGCATGCTTTGGGAGAGGATCTCTTCGTCTTGCATCGTCATCAACCGGTCAACCCGTTGCCCCGAGGATGCTAACGGCGCCACGACCAACGCTTCAGGTCGACTCCGCCAAACGAAACCTTGAAGATGCAGCTCCGTCGAACATCGACATAGACGAGAAGGGCGAGATAGACCAGGAAACGAACCAGGAAGACCACGGCGCGCATCGCCGTCTCGTATTGAAGATCGACCTGCTTCTCATGCCTCTGTTGACCATCTCGTATGGCCTTCAATTTGTGCGTCCATCGCTTGATTTCTTTCACGATAGCATCTGAACGATAATTCCAACGCATAGTATGACAAATTCGTGTTCAGCTCTGCCGCCGTCTTTGGGATGCTAGCGGACTTGGACCTCACCACCCCTGTTCCCGGCACGACGAAGGTATCGACGCAACGCTACTCTAATGCGTGAGTCTTCTCAACGTTCATACGTCCTCCTTTTCATGCTTCTACCCCCGCCCTTAGCACGGCTGCATTCTACTGGGGATACATGGTCGGCGTCCTTCCCATGTCGCTTCTGCTCCAACGCTTTCCAGTAGCCAAGACCCTCGGTCTCTTGATCTTCGTGAGTGTTTCATGTTACCTCCATACTGTCCATATTCTGACTGGTTGCCAGCTGTGGGGTGTTGTTGTCATGCTCACCGTCCTCGTAAGCTCCTATCCCGGAGCAGTCGCCATTCGTTTCTTCCTCGGGGTCATCGAGAGTTCCGTAAGCCCAGGGTTCGTTCTTGGTACGTTCAGCGTACTCGGTGATCAGGATATTTCGCTAAGATATGAATGCCCTTAGTCACGTCCATGTGGTACACGAAAGACGAGCTTCCTGTGCGCGTCGGCATATGGTACAGCGCCACCGGCCTCTTCACCGTCTTCAGCGGTGTCATGAACTACGCCATAGGGCACGCGCACGGTTCTTTGGCGCCATGGAAGTACATGTGCGCCAATCCATGAAGTACTCTCATACCCCATTCGCTAATGTCTCAGCACAGGTATCTGCTCGCAGGCTCGGCGACGATTGTATGGTCACTTATCATACTGGCGGTGCTTCCTGATTCTCCGGCATCCTCGCATCGCTGGTTCAACGAAGAGGAACGGTCTACACTTTTACTGCGGGAGAAAGAGAAGCCGTCTGGAGTAGACTCGCGACGACTGCGGCTTGATCAGGCTCTCGAGGCTGCCAAGGATGTCAAAGTGTGGATAATGGCGGTGATGGGCGCCGCGATATACGTATGTAACGGAGGTAGGTCGTCGTCATGTTCGTCGCTGCAGCGTAGCGCCGATGCTCACCGCGCTACACCAGGCGTTACAGCTTTCGGTTCGATCATCATCAAGGTGACTGAGAGGAGCCATCTAGACGCCTTCTCAATGATGAACGCTCGATGATACAGTCTTTTGGATATTCAAGCTTGCGCGCTATTCTATTACAAGCGCCCGGCGGCGCGACAACCTGTGTCTCGATTTACCTGTCAACTTGGCTCGCAGTACGTTCCGTCTTCCGAGACGAGGTGCGATGGCTGATTCTCACTCGAACTCAGGAACGCATCAGGAACGCACGCACGATACTCCTCGCCCTTACCTGTTTGCCAGTCATGGTCGGAGCACTGGTAATCTGGCTCGGATCATGGTCTCATCGAGGACTGCCACTCTTTGGATATTATCTCCTGCCAATCTTCGGTGCTCCTTACGTTCTGTTGCTGTCCATTGCAGCTACCAACGTGGGAGGAGAAACGAAGAAGGCTTGCACAATTGGCGCCATCTTCGTCGGATACAATGTCGGTAATATCATAGGGCCATACCTGGTACGTTTATCACACCCTATCCCAGCACATGATGCGTGGGCTGACGGCATAAAGGTGAACACCGACGAAGCCGACGTTAAGTATCGCACGACCTGGGTATCGATTATCGTTGTCATGGCTCTCACGATAATCGCCGCAATGGCGCTGCGCATTCTTTGGGCACGAGAAAACAAGAGACGCCGCCACCACGATGAACCATGTATTCGCGCACGAACCCCATCCGATGGAGAGAACCCCAGAGTACTACCGCGTGACTATAGTGACCTGACGGATTGGCAGGACAGGTGTTTTCTTTACGTCCTTTGAGATGGTGATCATTCTTTGGAAAGCGATGCTGTACCCTAATTCATATTTCCACCGCAATCGGTTGAAAGTGATGAAATAGTGACCAAGTAATACATAGGTCATCGAACGAAGGTTCTGGGGCCGCGGCGAACTCGACTTCATACCGAAAATATCGTGAGCCCGTATCGACGCGGAGAAGGAAATCCGTTAGCTCCGTTTCATTCCTTTTTTCTTGCCCTATTCCAGCCCCAGCACGTTTCTGTTGCTCGTGTCGTCTTCATTCGACGAGCCTTTGACATGACCAAGATCGAATGCGCTGGCCCTCTGATCGTGAAAAGAGCTGACAAAGTGGAGGTTCACATCACCAATAATTACTACTACAACACAACCCCGAACGCGTCCAACCAAGTTTCCCCTGGGCCGAGCGTTGTAGTACAAGAAGCTCGTGGACCTGCCACTTCGCCAACGGCTCGCTCATACACCAGACGAGGCGCTGGTTCCAGGTCCCAGGCGAACAACGCGCAAGGGCCAGAAACTGATCACCCACCATCTTCATCCGATGAAGATACCGAGTCCGACGATTCGAACTCGGACGATAGCGGTAAGTGTATACCGGTACTTGATCCCGAGTATATCAATGATGGAAGGTTTCTCATGGAGACTCGGATTCGGTATCAAACGCTGCCAGAGACTGCGGCTTGACGCGAGCCGAAAGGGAGATGTACGTCGTGTGATGCATGCGGCCTGGGGGGGTCTGAGTATAGTCATCTCACCCGCCGTTTCCAGCATCCTCAAGTATCTGGAAGACATACGTGTTCAGAATTATAGAGGCGCCGCCCGCACTTTTTCGGAACAACATAAGGCTAGCCCGTCTACGGTTCGCAAATACGGGGCGGAAGACATAAAACAAATAAGCCAAACACGGCAAGCGTTCCCTCCTGCTGATAAGTTGCAGTGGGCAATACTGACGCTTTGGTTAGATGGTTCCGCTACGAGGTGAAGAAGCTTGAAGACCAAAAGGCGGCCAGACAGGCCCGTATGCGCCAAAAGGACGCCGATCGCCTGGAACAGGCTCGCAAGCGCGTCCGTTTCCAGGAGGCTGCACGCAAGGAGGCCCGCCGCATGCCTGTCCACAAGAAAGGAGCAAGGCGCTCGTCCGCGGCCCACTCCTATGTGCGTTCTTCCGTTCCGTACACCCGGCCTCCGAACGCAAATAATCAAATGCCGCTCACAGAGCGCCTTCACGCCGTATGAGGCCAGATTCGTGGAAGCTTGGATCGAGCAATACGGCGCAGTCACCGCCCCGGAGCAGTTCGAGATGCTGTACACGGCATTCCGCCAGGCTCAGTACAGGCAGCCTCATGCCTTGGACCCCAAAGATCGGCGTTTCCGGCACCGTACTAGGCCCACCATGCTCAAGTACCTGCAGGACAAGTATGGTGAGTGATCTATGAAGCTGAGTATTCGTTACCGATGCTCCGCATATTAGATTGCCCACTTCAAACGATTTGACACACTCGCCGTCTATCTCTTACTTCGTAAAAGTCGCTTTCCAAATATCTTTGCTGTCTGTCATTGCTCTGTTGCCTGCTCCTCTGTCGATACCTGCATGTATTATTAATGCTCATTCGTATTTCGCCGTGCAGAAAGAGGGAGGTAATCCGAGATATGAATTGACCCTCAAACGTGGGGTTCTACTATCGTCTTACAAAAACGTTTCACTAATCACTCGGCAAGGGACCTACGCCGAAACGTACGGTAAGCTACCTTCAAACAGGGAGCTGGGCTCCAAGGTTGTCAGGGACCGCAAGCGTGGGGTCAACCTGGCTGGCGAGCTTGCCACCGAACAGTACCGGCCCGTTCTTCGCCCGGTAGTCAGCGATGCGCTTCTCCACCTCGGGGCGGAAGTGGCGCATGAGGCCTTGTATGGGCCAAGCGGCGGCGTCGCCGAGGGCGCAGATGGTGCGTCCTTCAACTTGTTTGCTGAAGAGGAAAATACGTAAGCGGCCAACGTTGGACAGAAAGAGAAAGTTGACGAACGTGATCTCAAGCAGCATGTCGATCTCTCGCTGATGTCCACGTCCCTCGACGAGACGATCCATCATGTTCATCATCCAGGTAGTACCCTCTCGGCACGGCGTGCATTGGCCACACGACTCGTGCTTGTAGAAGTGAGAGAAGCGAGCGATCGCCTTGACGACGTCCGTGCTCTTGTTCATGACGATGACGGCACCCGTACCCAGACCGGTCTGAGCGTCCTTCAGGGAGTCGTAGTCCATGCTGCGACACAGATCAACATGGCGGTATAAACGGGCAGAAGCCGGTACTCACAGAACCTCCTCACAAGTCTTCTTGGGAATGATCGGTACCGAACTTCCACCAGGGACGATTCCGAGCAAGTTGTCCCATCCACCCCGGACACCGCCGCAGTGCTTCTCGATCAGGTCCTTGAGCGGTATGCTCATCTCCTCCTCCACGACGCAAGGGTTGTTGACGTGACCGCTGATGCAGTACAGCTTCGTGCCCTGGTTCCTCTCCCGACCGAAACTCGCGAACCACGCGCCACCTCTCCTGCAGATCGTAGGCGCGACTGCGACGGTCTCGACGTTCGCCACCGTCGTGGGGCAGCCGAACAGGCCTACGTCGGCCGGGAACGGCGGCTTCAGGCGCGGCTTGCCCTGCTTGCCTTCCAAACTCTCGATCAGCGCCGTCTCCTCGCCGCAGATGTACGCGCCCGCGCCGCGGTGGAGGTAGACGTCAAAATTGTAGCCGGAGCCGCACGCGTTCTTGCCGATGAGGCCGGCCTTGTACGCTTCCGTGATCGCCTGCTGGACGTGGGACGCCTCCTGGTAGAACTCGCCGCGAATGTAGATGTATGCCGCGCTGGCGTTCATGGCGCGTCCGGCGACAAGGCAGCCCTCGACGAGCTTGTGGGGGTCGCCGCGCATGATCTCACGATCTTTACACGTTCCTGGCTCACCCTCGTCGGCATTCACGACGAGGTAACGTGGCCTGACGGGGATACTTTAGCTCCAAATGCCGTATACTCCGCAAAGCCGACACACCTTGGATCCTTCTCCCAACCGGGCTTGTTCATGAAACTCCACTTCAGTCCGGAAGGGAAGCCAGCTCCGCCTCGTCCACGGAGGCCCGAATCCTTCATGGTTTGAATGATCCAGGAGTCACCCTTGAGCAGGATATCTTTCGTCTTGTGCCAATCACCACGGGACTATGGAAACACAGGTTAGCTCATGATGCCGGCACGGATGATCCGCAAGAAGAGGAGAGCGAGCAAAAAGGGGTCGCTGGGAGGTTTTCGGGATACAGCCTGCATAAGGCACCTGTGAAGTGCTTCTAGTCAGCGACAATTTCATGCTGAGTTGGGACAGAACAAACGAAGCATCAGAAATGAGAGTTTTGGTATAAGTTGTCCACAAGAGAGTTCTCTTTCGGAAGCAGAACTGAATGAAGGTTCATCATAGGAGACGAACGACGAAGGTATCCAAAAGAAACTCTAACTCACCACTGCATGTAAATCCACTAGCAATCGACCATGCAAGGTGGTATCATCGACCTCTCCAGTCCCCCTCTGCCTCGTCCGAACGAAGGTTGAAGCTCAGTAGGTCCCACACACCTGAGCGCCCTTTATCCCATGATCATGTCGGCAATATGCGTTCGTAAAAATTCGGTCTTGATCCTTCAAGCCCCCATATCGTCGCACAGGGGTATCGGCGACGGTAGCGAAATTGCGGGTGCGCGTAGCACGGGTGCTCGCCCCTGTCCAGAACGTTCATTTCATCAATCCTCGAGTATGCATGGTCTAAAACGCACGAGCAGCAGAGGACGAGGCTTTTAACATGATAAGTTAGAGAGTTCGGGGCCCGTCGCAAACGACGGGAGAGGAGTGGCCAACGTCGGGCGGCGCCGTCAGGCCAACGTCGGATGCGTCGCTGACATAAGCGCATCCCACCAATTGCCAGCCGTTCGTTTGCAAGCCTGCAGCTGTTCGCCCCCAGCTCCCTTTCCACCTTGGGGACTACGGCAGTTGATCTAGGATACCCTCAAAAGATCTATTGGACGCCATTTCAAGTATGATGTGTTGAGAACATGTACTAGAATGCTGGAAGCAAGATCAAATAATGTCTGCACGACTACCCCCCTCCGTCAATTCAATATTGTTTCCGCCTCCGTAGGAATGGATTGGGAATCTGGCTCGTTTCTCGGATCACCTTCGATGCTGAGGGCGGCCTCTTCAGCGCGGCGCCGCGCGACCCACAATGCCTCACCAACGCCTTCCAAATAAGACACGGGATCGTCGTGGCCAACGCCGGGGAGCACCCGAGGGTGATATGAGAAGGCGGTCATAGCCGACTCGGACGTGAAGATTTGATCAAGGTAGTCTGAGTGCCGATGAGTTGCAAGATCAGTCGAATGAACGCGATGTACTCACCTCGCGCGGATTTCGGCACAAGACCGTCCTTCTCACCCCACCAAACGTGAACCTCGACCTTCTGGACCGTATTCTCTGTAGAGGCGACTTGACGTCCGATTTCGGCCAGGGTCCATTGCATCCACTCTCTCGAGCCGACCTTGCACTTCACGTCGCCAAACTGCTGAACCGGGACGTCCTTGCCTAAACACAGCAGGTGTTCCTGACCCATGCCTTGCATGCTTTCGGCGACGCGGTATTTGGATACAAGGTCCTCACTTTCGCCACTGTGATCCGAAAGTGCGAAGGAGTACGCTGTAAGCGTGGTGGTGGGCGGTTTCTGCTTCTTTCTCTTTTTCTTCCCTTCTTCCTCCTCGCCGGAAGCGGTGTTCGTTTTCTTCGATGCCTCGACCTGAGGTGTCTCCTTCCTCGCAGGCAGAATCCGGGAAGCGTATTGCTTGACACGACCGTACGCTTGGATGGTAGAGCCGACAGTCCTCTGGACGGATGGGAGGATAACGTCCTGGTGTTCAATCAGGGGCGCCGGGATAAGGGATAGGTAACGATTTCCTGGCACCCACGGAGACACTAGGATGACTGTAGGGTGCGAAGCCGAGGTCTGACCGGAATATCTACGCATATATTCCAAGAGATGTCTAGGAGGCGTTCAGTATGATGCCTTCCAGGGTAAGAGTTTATCCCAACGTACATAAACCCCGCAGAGCATGCGAGCAAGGTCATATCTGTCAGGTTCAGATGCTCGACGAGCGATCTCGTCATCACTAAGAGTACGTTAAAACGGCCCATCGCGAGGAATAAAACTGCGACGTACTACAAGCAACGTCAAGGCGCTCTCTCAGCTCGCAGCGCTCCGTCCCCCCGCACCCTGGTCTATCCATCGCGATCAACCTCACCCCCAACTCCTCCGCTAGCAAGTCGAGATATATCGCGACATAGCGCGTGCAAACGCTAGGCAGAAACACGAGCACAGGGGAACCTGAGCTCGGGCCAATCTCTGCGAATGTGACGCGTTTGTCGGTGCGCGGGCAGCGCAGAGAACGGTGGAACCGGCCGTCGGCGAGGTAGATAGCAGGTTCCTTCTTCGCCAGTGCATAGCGGGGCGACTTTGACGTCGTGAGCCTTGCCTTCAGGTCAGAAGGCGACCATTGTGTAGAGGGCTCGTCCATGGGGAGCAAAAGGCTGCGACATCTTCAAGCTACGGCTGCGCACCGCGCGCTCATTGTCAAGGCTCGTGCCAAGCTACGAGTGGCTGAGGATGTGAGCGCTTAATTTACCGTCTCCCAAGCTAAAGAGCACTTGTATGATGTATGATGTAGACTATGCGAATAAGTGTACTACTACCAGAGGCATTAGGTATTGTGCAAGATGTCCAATGAGCACGAAGTACATCATTCATCGGAAACCGGATCCTCTGCGGTTATCTCGCCGCTCTCCGCGCCATCACTACCGTCGTCCCGCCACTCAACTCCTGTTCGAGCTACATGCAATGCTTCCCCGAAACACCACAAAGTGAACGGCGCATAATGATCTCCCAGCATAACCCAATCACTGTATTGAAACGCAGGGGAGATTGCGTCGTATTCGAACAAATTCCGTAGGTAGACTGTTGCGTGCGAGTCAGTTGTCATATATTCGGAGCATGAAGAAAGCTTTACCTCTCTCAGATTTGCCCATATACGAATCATCCTCGCCCCACCAGACACATACCTTGATCTTGGGGTCCCCGCCGTCAGCATCGACCTGCATGTCTTTGGAGGAATTGCAGACCGTACGTGCGACCTCCTTAAGGCACCATACCATCCAATCCTTGGACCCCACCGTGCATGAACAGCCTGTCGTTTCATCGCCGTAACGTCCAACAGGTAATGATTTCCCGAGACACAGATGAAACTCTCGAGAACTGTCCTGCGCTTCCGCCATAGTCCATTCCCATGCAAGACGGAAGGGGGTTCCCTTCTCATGATCATAGAACGATTTGGTCCAATCTTGCCCCATGTCTGTAGACGCTAGGGCGTCGCGTTGCTGTCAGCCAACCACGCGGCATAGCTCGCGAAACCGGCGAAACTTCCTCCTTACATATCGTTTAGCGTCGAAGATGGAGAAACGGGCACGGAGTTTCCAACGATCATAACGCTCCTCGCGATTCAGGATGAAGCTGTGGATCAATGGCAAAAGCCGTTGGCCGCGCACCCAGGGCGAGAGCAACAATACTCTTGCCCTCCGATCTACGAGCTCCGACGCATGTATGCGGAGGTACTCAAGGAGATGACTAAATCTCGAGGTTTACTTAGTCAATGGCGGCTTATTGAACATTATAACGCACATGAAACCAGCACAATAGGCCAGGAGAGCAAAGTCTCTGAGATCTAGATGTTCAATCAATGACTGGGTCATCTCTGTGAGATCTAATTTAGTGCCGCGTATTGCACTGCATGCAACACGCTCACGATACACCGTAGAGACTCGTTCCTGTAGGCTACACGTCTCTGTACCGCCGGTGCCAGGTCTATCCATCGCAATGAGTCGGATTCCAGAAGCAGCGGCAACGATATCCCGAGTTACCGCAACCCAACGGCTGCAATGGCTCTGGAGGAAGAAAAGGACCGGCGTCCCGCTTGGCAAACCTACATCGGCATAGGTGACGCGTTTCTTGGACCTGGGGCATATGAAGGAGGAGTGAAAGCGCTTGTCCGCGAGATAAGTCGAAGGATCGCTCTTCGCCTCGACGTAAATGGAATCCGTGTCGGCTAATTGCTGCGCCTTTTTGCTGAAAATGTCCCAGTCAAACGGAGAGGCGTCCATGAAGGTAGTGGTAGTATCCTGTGAGGCAGTCGATATGACCTTGGCTCTATTTGTGTAGCGCCGTTCGGCCAAGCCGAGGTGGCTCCCTCGGGGAAATCATCAGGCCACATACGAGGGCTCTCGAGATTTTGGAACACAGCAAAGAGAAGCATAGAATAGGTCAAACAGTGCTCATGTCCTTCCTATACTTCCTGTGGCATAGACTCCAAGGAACTATCTCGACTTAATCCAAAAGGCCGTGGACAAACCACTCAACCGACGGGTCATTGTGCAAACTAAACCGGAAACGAGAAGCATCATATGGGCAAGATGCGAAACAACAGACAGCCCATCTCGAGGACTCAAGATACAGGCCCACAGTAACGTTTCCGCTAGCAACCCCGCAGGACAGCCATCCATCGACTGCTAATCATAAGCAAGATTAGTGATGCGGATAGCACGGAGGGAGTACCAAGATGGCAATGGTGGCAACACTCCCAGGGGATGTCGAGCCCACTTCGAACAATATTTGTTCTGGAAAGTGCGGGTATTCTAAGCTTTTGCTGTGCATCAACAGCCTGTATGATTCGGTGCGACGCAATCGACGGATGTGTTGCATTGTGCCCGAGAACGAAGTGCCATGTGCGAACGCCATAGAGGAATGGACAAGTATATGCTTCGCAGCGGCAGTTAATAATTAGTGCACGTGTTTCTTGTGCTTGTGTCGATGGTATATATATATATCCAGAAAATACACGCTCAGGTGCCCTGGTTAGTTATCACGGCAGTAGTCGTAGGAGGTGTGGAACGAAACAGAATAGCTGGATTGGCAAATTTTCGCGGGACGAGACGACCGAGCTTGCGACGGACCGGGATATAAATATGGCATAAGCGGATCACCGACTATGGCATTCATCATGCTACGCAAACTAACTAGACGGAAAGGATATATGCGTTGACTATGGAATGGGAATTATCGAATCAACGTACAGTAAGCGTGAAGTGCATTATTACTCCGGAACCGTATCACCAGGGGTTTTCTCGTCGCTCGTTGCATCATCACCACTGTCACCTGGATTTTCTGGTCCCACTCCCGTTCGAGCCACGTGCAATGCTTCGCTGAAATAACACAGGTTGCCGAAGGGTGCGTAATGATCTCCCCAGTTTTCCCAATCATTGTATTTGAAAACACTGGAGATGGGATCGGTTCTGAACAAATCGCGCAGGTAGTCTGGTGTATGCGAATCAGTTCCAGTAGACTCCACGCGTAACGGAAGGTTTACCTCGCTCAGACTTGCCCATGTACCAATCATCCTCGCCCCACCAAACGAACACTGCAATCTTCCGATCCGTACCGTCCACGTCGGTAGGCGCGTTTTTGCCTGATTCCCGCACCTTACGCTCGACCTCTCTCAGGCACCACTCCATCCACTCCTTGGATCCCACCGTGCATGTGACACCCGTCGTCTCATCGCCGAAGTGTTCAACAGGTAATGATTTGCCGATGCACAGGTGAAATTCGGGAGAAAGGTCCTGCTCTTCCACCATGGTCCATTGCCAAGCAACACGCGCCGGAGTACCCTTCTCAAAAGAGTAGAACACCTTGACCCAGTCCTGCTCGATAACTGCAGATGCCTTTCCTCCGCCTTCATCACGGCTGGCTGCCGTACGGCACAATTCGCGAGTTCGGCGAATCCTCTTCTTCACAGATTGTTTGGCATCGAATATAGAGTCCTTGACCTTGAATTTCAAGCGACAGTACGGCTCTTCGCAATCCAGGAGGAAGTTGGGAATCAACGGTAAGAGACGGTTGCCTCGGACCCACGGTGAGAGCAACACTACTCTGGCTCGCCGGGTCACGAGTTCCACCGCGTGTGTGCGAAGGTACTCAAGGAGGTGGCTGAACATCCAGATTAGTATATACAATGAGCCGATGAAGATGATACCATGACGCACATGAATCCGGCGCAGTACGCTAGGAGAGCGAAGTCTGTGAGATCCAAATGCTCGATCAAGGATTGGATCATCTCTGTAGATGAATTGAGCGGAAGCTTTGATGTAATACAACTCGCTTACGATACGCCGTGGAGACTCGCTCATGCAACTCGCAAACCTCCGTCCCGCCGCAGCCGGGTCTATCCATCGCAATGAGTCGTATCCCTGAGGCGGTGGCTACGATGTCCCGCGGAATCGCAGCCCATCGGCTGCAATGACTCTGGAGGAAGAAAAGAACCGGTTTTCCGCTTGTCGAGCCTATGTCGGCATAGGTGACGCGTTTCTTGGTCCGGGGGCAGATGAAGGAGGAGTGAAAGCGCTCATCCGCGAGGAAAGTCGAAGGATCACTCTTTGCGTTCACGTATACGGGATCCGTGTCAGCCAATTGCTGTGCTTTCTTGTCGAAAACATCCCAGTCGAACGGAGCGGTGTCCATAACGAAGTTGGTTGGTAGGATTCTGTCAAGGTTAGGGAGGACTGGCCCCAATTTATGCCAAATGGCGAGCATCGGATGGCCACAAAAGGGGTGCGTTGATGAGGGGGGCCATGCGTAAAAAGCTGTTAAACCTCTAGCAACTCTGCAACGCATGCCACAGAGGAGTATGGAACAGACAAACCACCGCGATTGTCCAGCACAGTAACACAGCCTTATTCCGGCTAATGCCGAAAAGCCGTGAACAAAGGGCTCAGGACTGTCGTCAACGTTTAGCAAACGAGCACACTGCAACGGAAAAGGAGCATAACAACCAGCAAAAGGCGAAACAATAAGCACCTCGCTTCGACAGCACCGGATGCAGTCGCTTTCATGCCTACAGTAATGTTCTCGATAGCAACCCGATACGACAGCCATCCCGGAGACTGTTCATCAGGGTCAGCGATGAGTATAGCACGGGAACAAGAATCGAGATGGCAATGGGAAAAGAAGGAACGAGCGGACTTTCACCGAGGAAACACGAGACCACCAAAGGCAATATTTGATCTGGAGATTGCAGGCGTAGTACATGTAAAGCTGTTCTTGTTGCACTCATCGACAGCGTGCGGAATTTGCCGAGAGACGCAATCGCCAGGTAAGGGGGTTGCATGAACCGGATGAAATATTCATGCCAAGGATAGTTCGAGCGTCTATATTGCAAGCGCCATACAGAAATGGACAAGGATATGCTTCGAGGCGGCAGTAACTACTCAGTGCGCGTGGTTCTTGTGATGCTCTGTAAGACAAGTCAGCAACCGTCCACAGCGTACATGTACAGAGACGACTCACTGAGGTGCACTGAAGCCAATGAAGAAGCCGGAGAATCAGCATGACGTCTAACAGACGGTCTAACTCAAGCACGTACTCTGGTAGTCGATGGTGTAACCAAGGGTGAAGATGCCCAGGATAGTCCAGACCAACGGTGCGCCGGAGGCATTCTTGCCGTTGAAGAACCGGCCCTTGATGCCGCTCGCCTTCACGGATGCCGAGCCCTTGGGAAGCTTGGAGTAGAACTCGACCAGGGGCGAGAGCGAGGCTCCCGATCCGGACGACTATGCAGCAGAACGAGTCGGAGGGTAAGTGGTCAGTCAACACGTCTAGCAGCCGGAGGAGACGTAGAGCAAACCAGAATAGTTGGGCTAGCAACTTTTGGCGGGACTAGACCGCCGAGCTGGCGACGAACGAGAGAGGCGTGCATTGCTGAGTAGTGGTGGTGAACGTCTGACGCGACGACCAAGGGCAAATACGGGCGGATTGTTTGGGCGTGCCAAACAATGGACACAGCCACGTGGCCACGCGGACTGAGTGCGCGCTTTTCCCCGCTCGACTTCTGCAGCGTTCTCGTTCTCCTTTGTATGGTTCATGGCTATACATTCGCATTGGCTTGGTTACATGTTCCTCGAGCTTTGCGTGACAACAAATAGCATTGACTTTTGGATCTGAACGATACTGCTCGCTGATCCCTACAAAAATATGATCACTGGACATCATGATCAGCTTGCCCGCGAATATCCGTCATCTTGCATAGGATTGCTGTAATGCGTCGTCTTTGTCAGATCATAGGAACGCCTCTCTGAGACAATCTGTGGATCGCTGAGCTTCCGCCTCTTTGTCACGATGACTAGTATATGCTATCATCTTAGCCATGTGTGTAAGTCATCGCGATTCGGAATATAAAGCTAGGGCCATGCCTCACGGCCCACTCAGATGTGCAGCACTAGCGTGCTTCCGTGCCACCGACACATGGGTAGACTATTGCGCGATATGTATGCCTCGTTCAGGACTTATTGCTGCGTATCATTTCTGTCACTCCTTCTGATGGCAATCGAAGGTATGAGGATCCCGCGTTTCTGATGTCGTGGTCTTAATGGTATACAATTCGACCGCATGCTGCTGACTAGCATGATGAGTAGGTTTGTCGAATATGGCCACCTTCCCACCTGATTCCGATGAGATCGTTCTGCGAGGCGACCACGAGGACCGTCGAACGACGATCAAATATATACACGAGACGAAGCCGCTGGCGAGTGAACGACTGACCAGTCAGCTGTCTTTGGTCTGCGGCGTGGGAAAGGCGCCCTAACGGATCCAATTTGCCATACGTTTCGAGATGGCAAGAGACGGCAGATTCCGTCTCTTCTCTAGGAACGACTTTCGGCGTCGATCCACGCCGTGCAGCGCCAGGTGCACGCCGGCAGGTCGAGAGAACCTCGAGTTCCACACTTCTTAGATTGTCAGCTGACCCATGCCGTGCTCTACGCCACCCGCTATTCAGCATATTGCATTGATCTCAGTAAGTCCCGACGCCCTGATGACGCTCGTCTCTGCTCATGGGCGCCCGACGTTCGGGAACAGTCCGGGAAGTAATATCGACGCCGATTTGTCTGCTGTACTTATCTCCTTAAGGTGGCGAAAGAGTTTCCATTGCTTGGCCCCCTTTGATCCGGCTCTGTCCACCTGACCGGCGCGGTACGCGAAGGTGCTGAAAATATGGCGTCCCTTCGGATGTAGAGGGATGCATAGCGTGCGGTCAGTGAACGACGCGTTCCGATATGGAGTAGCGGAGTTCCCGGACTCCGTGGCACCGTACCTGCGATGTTGTTTGTTTAGCAGCGTATTCGCGTGTACAACGTCCGGACGGGCTCGCACAGACACGCTAATTATGCTCCGGCAGGGATAGAGGTCGTCGAAGGGCTGCCCTGTGGGGTGTGTGGATCTGATTCAGTAGGACAATGTGGTCAGCGGCGGGTTTCTCTCAGGTACAAGGAGCACCGTCGGCATAGGACAGGACGGTGCGGTAGCTCCGTCTCTACGTGGATCGGCGTTCTAACTCGGTACATCCCATATACCATCATTATTTAGTGCGAGTCAAATCGAAAACGAGGCCGGTTATATCGGATACTAACACTAATAGCTCCACATGGATAGTAGTACGTTCGGATCATAAAGACAAGTCACGGAGACACCGACGTTTGCATCTCCCAAGCATCTCCACCCCCCGAAGCAGATCGTCGCGGAGATCCGGACAGACGAAGCTCGATTTCGCATGTGAGACAAGAGATACCCACGGATGTACACAAGGGATTGATCTCTTGTGCGATAGCTACCATGTCGTTCGCATCTTGGCGAAGGTCGAAGCAATATATCGATTACAGCTTCCTATCTACGACGGGGAACATCAGCCGCTATCTTCTCGTCTGCGACCCCGATATCCATGTTTGCGCCTTGAATACGTGTGGAACTAGGTATCGATGCCGTTATGACCTTCAGGAGGCGCAAGTCAACACGATTGCAATGACATCAAGGCTGGGATGACGTGTTTTTGGCGTGAAACTTCTCTCTAGGGTAGTCGTTGCCCCTGAAAAGGTCTTCCCGCGTTGCAACCCGGAGATAGGGAGAAGATACTGCAGCAAACTGGTAGCTACTTTCCGGATCATGAGTCCTACCGTCCGCTGGAAGGAGGCAATTGATCTCAGTGCACCGATAGGAACGATCCGGGATGTGTTAGCATTGGTAATAACCGCCGTGAATGGCTAGTCTTCCAGCAGAATCGCACAACAGCACGCTATCAGTGAGGCTGCGAAGGGCGGTCGAAGGCGCGAACGGAGTTTGAACGCCCTGCTTCCGAGAGAAATGACTCACGTGTCGCTTGCCACGGGCACCGCGCTCATCCTGACGAAACTCTGCTTCGACCGCTGCCGGGACGGATGGCTCGGAAACGACGTTGTCGCATGGGTCCCGTATCTCACGGCGTCTAACGTGGATCTTTGCTTCTTTTGAATTGGCGGCAGTCGACGCAGGGGCTTCCCAGGGCGCAACATGACCGGATCTATAAAGGCGCGCAATTTTTCAAGGGGCAATCATCCCGTCCTTCGCCTTTGTCCGCACCTTTGCGGAAGTATACTTTGTGACTCACATCGGTGCTCGACTCGATCTGCTCCTACTACCCCTGTGGCCCCTTGTACTTGATTCCCTCCCACTGCGCCAGTACGGCCCCTCTCGTGCTAGTATCCTCCATAGCCACCGCTACCGCCTCCACCCCGTGTCATCGGATATGTGCCGGCAAATTTCGTGAGTGCATTCACCAATGGCCTCCACCTATGACTTGGCGCTCATGATTTATGCAGTGAGGGCACTCGTTGGACAACCTGCGGCGTGAGTCTCCTCGCAGCTTTCTGTTCATGACCTCATTAACACACATGATCTGCAGCATTTCCAACGCCACTTGGTGGTCGCCATCATGGACTGCAGCAGGTCAAACTGCACAAAATCGATACGCCACCCCACAGCTTGCCGCGCACCGACATGCATTCAGGTCAGGGCTCTCTGCCTTCGCCGTTTCTTTCTCCTCGATTTCCTTTTTCGCACAAAATGCCTCACCTTCGAGACGTTCTTGCGCCCGGGTCCCTCTCTCGAGCCCCTTCTCTTCTGGTGCCTTCCTATTATGTCACATCAGGACGCTGACATATCGTCTTCAGAACTTCGGCCCAGAGGTCCAGAAAGACATAGACGCCGTCGACGAGCTCTGCTGGGCATGCAAGTCTGCCATAGAGCGTGAGAAGCGACACGCAGCAAACCGGTGATCTCCGCACATACCACATCGAAATTTACCAACATGTCTGCCTCCGCCCTCCGGGCTGCGCGGAGGTCCTTGCGCTCGAGCCGTCGGATCCCGCTTCATGCAATCGCAATTGTCATGTATTATAGAGGACTATACCCTGAGTATAATGATGCAATCAGATCAAGGATAAGACATTGTTCGAACGACTCGGACTTGCGCGTGCTCGTGTCCTGATCACCTGGATGCAGTCAGAATCGCGGAAGTCAGGACATATTGCGAAAATGTATGCTCTCGATGGTGACCGCGACCTATTTTAGGCGACGTCAGGGCGAACTCTGGCACCTCGTTGCCATTGTACTACACACACGCAGCGCGCTAGTACTAGCATGACACAAGGCCGAGGAGACGCCGAGTCCACGGCAACCGGCGTACAGATAGCTCTACTGATAGATCCAAGTCGCCTCGAGGTCTAGATAAACGCCGTTGTTTCCTATTGTGTACTCATTGTTTAGCTTACGCGGAGGACCTTCCGGCCAGGAGGCGAGCTGTGAGGCAAGAGTCATGACATACACGCTCGTGGGACCTGATCGTCATGATCTTTCCGAGGCATACAGCAGATAGGAGCTTAGACGGTCTGTGCGCCACTCCCATGGCCGGAACTCTTTCAAGGCAAGAACGGCGAGGAGTCTTCCATTACGTGCCGGTGGGTACCATCGGCACCGGCTTGATGTTGCCTGGAGACTTCCATGCGCTCGCCGAACCTTTTGTGCGTGTGAAGGGGTGGCAGCGATAAGTCGGAAGCGCAGCGACCTTTCCAAGTGCGTAAGGGCTGTCGACGAAGAACGAAGAACGATGATGTAACAGAATGTTATCATGGGTACAGGTGTTTGTTTACATACTTACGAGAGATGAAGCAGGTCTGATCATGATCCTATGAGTGCAATTTGACGTCCGAGAAGTAACCAGAGGAAGTGCAGCTTATCGGGTCCGCGCGGCGAAGGCAAGACCGTCCTATGAGCGCATTCTATCGTCGTTGGTCGGCATCGTGGCGGCATCGAGTGTTAGAAGTGAGGTCAATCGCCGGTGTACTATCCGCAGTCGTTGCCTTCGATTCCAGCATAGCCCGGATAATACATACATGTAGAGCCATTTCCATTTCCGAGGGAACCAAATGTAGAGATAACGACGAACGTCCCTGGCTTCGTCCTCAAGAATGACAAGCCAGTGCAGCTCGGAGGCTTCCGGCTTGATACGAGACACAGAAAGCCATCGTCTCTCGTCGCCCGACCGAGAAGCCCGAAAACAGCTGCACGCAGAGCGTTGAGCCTCCGTGAACAGCCAGCCTTCGATATATCTGGTCCTCGCGCTGACCAATATGTAGGCAACTGGTGAGGGGCTGCAGTACGGCCACTGGATGCCTTGTGTACCTTCCAGTAAGTACTTCCGCGCAAGGCACGTCCGGGTCAAGGTCGCAGACGGAGGTACAAGGAGGCTGTGTTACGGTATTCCACGTGGCCGAAAACAGAGATTTTCTGAGCGGGTCGTCTGGAGTCTCTCGACTTTCGACCTTACTCTCCGGGCAACGTTCCCTCGGATACCCACTATCCTCGTTTCGTTGGTGTACTTGAGGCTGAGGGTAATTCTGCCTTTTGCATTGCTTGGGCCGGCCGTACCCGTATCACGCAACTTACACATTGTTTCGACGTGTCGCTTGCTTTGTCTGAGCAACCTGTGGTCTGACAGTGGACAGATTCGCAATCAACCGCGAATTTTGGGATATATGCCGAAAGACATATACGAGGCCCTCTGTGAGTGACGTTCGTGGTGAATCCGCCATATCGTTGCAATAAGTTCGGACCTACAGAATTGCTCTGTATTTCTGGTTGCATAGCCTCGTGCGTGGCCCACACCTGTTGTCAATGCCATATCATCTCAATATCTCCGAGCTAGATACCGTCTTTCTTTCTTTCTTCCGGATCTTACTCGTCCTACCAGCCACACGACACGCCCGACGAACAAAGAGGACCGTCACAGTCACAGCTCTATATATGCAGGAGCGGGACTGCATAACCTCCCATCGTCTATCGCCTGCCCACGAACATTACAATGCAGACCAACCTTGAACAAGCCATCGCCGCGGTCGCGCACTCATCGAAGCCGATCACGCTCGCCACCATCTTCCCGGCGTACATGAGGGTGGCCGGTTTCGACCTCCTTGCCAATCCTCCCTCTCCCGATTACGAAGCCCTCGATCCAGCTTCTCAATGGCAGCTCTTTAACACGTCCGTCTGCGGCGACGCGCGTGCATCGTTCGAACATGCTATGGACAAGCAGTCGCTCGGCTCGCGGCGGGACTACGCGGAGGAGATCGCGAGGCTCAGGGAGGAGTACTGGAAGAATTGGCACGGCGCAAACACGAGCAGGAAACATGGGAAATGCGGATGTCGCTGCAAAACCTGCGGGATGCCCTTGCGTCCGCCTGGGGAATCTGCGGGCGCAGGTCCGACGCCGACGGACGATGCGCCTCCTCCCGAGAGGAGGAAACGCAGACGTACGTTCCCATTTTCGTGAGATACACCACGTTTGCTGACTCCTTCATAGTGAAGAAACGCGTCAAACGCACGAAACGACCACAATCCGTGACCAGCGATTCGTCTTCCGCTACCTCAGGCGCATGGGATCCATATGGGCCATCAACTAGCGCTGTCCTACTATGATCTAGCATCTGCTATCCGACTTGCCTATCGCCACTCCGTATGATTCGCAGCTTAGCGAGCGTCGAGGGTCTTTGGCCCTCGTTCTTCAGGTTTGTGTCGATAACGCTCGTTCCTTGCCCATCACCTACGTGGACCCCAGATTAATTGGCCCGTCGGACTCCTTCCACTCCGATGAGCCTCATTCCCTGGGAATATGAATCATCCCATTCGTAGCTAGCACTGTGGCCGACTTCGTTAGACGTAGGCCTCGCGAGCAGCGGGATGGATACATGCGTATAACCATGCATATGATGCAACCTTCGAATAGTGCCTTCAGTGAAGATCAGTCAGCCACGCTGGGCGGCAACGTATGTAGTTCAAGCTTCAGCTAAGTGTGAAAAGAATGAGTATGGTCGATATGTTGCGTGCGTCAGCGTAAGCTCGACCATATGCACGCGGGAATATCCGGTCAAGACGATCGATTCCTTCTATCGAATGCGATGATACACTGAAGCCAAGTAGAGTACGAAACCAGATCAAGCAAGTCCACAAGTGAAAAATCCAGAATCCGAATAAATGAAGAATAAATCTAACGAATAAATGAAGAATAAATCTAAAAATACAAGATGCTGTCAATCGTCCGTTGATATGAAGTCTTCTCGCGCTTATGGGAGCACAGATAGAGTCGGGAATGCAGAGGAGGTGAATGCAAACTAGGTATGTGTGGATGTGAATGAAGAGGAGCGATGCGCGGACGTCTATTGCGCGAAGATGAGCGCCGGAAGCTCACTATTGGTTATCCACTGGAGCAGGTTGGGGTCACACGATAGGTCAATCAGCTCGTTGCCGGTCAAAGGCGCCGGCGGGAAGGGAGCGCCGGGGAATTGCAGAAGGGACGCATCCTGCGAAGCGGGATGGAAGCTTGGGAAGTCCTGCGAGAAGAGCTCGGGAGGGGTCGCGATGAGCAGGTCATCGACGGAGGCAGGGCTTGAGCTGTTCGAGTACGTATACGGCGTTCCGGGGGCGGAAGCGTACTGCGGGTATTGCGCCAGCGGGATATAGGCCTGTTCCGCAAAATTCGAAACATAACCCGGGAAGAAGGTCGCGGGGGTGAACTGGTTCATGGGGGAGGGCATTGCCTGCTGGACATGCGTCGGGTACGACATGTCCAATCCGAGGCCGGTCTCGAGGCCAGTCTGGAGGCCGGGGTAGTAGAAGTCATACGTGGCGTTCGGGAGCTGAGATACACCAGCGGCTTCGACCTGTGCTCGAGAGTTCTGGTCGGCATGCACGACCTGTTCCCCGAGACCGTGAACGGCGACCTCGTACTCGAAAGGGACATCTTGAAAGTACCCAAGCTCCGATGAGGGGGCGACCATTGGTAGAACGGTGCTCGAGCTGGCAATAGGAGGGGAGGGGGATAAGCCGGAAACTGAGGGCGGACAAAGTGCTTCGCTCGCAAGCAGAGTAAACTCGACGTCGGGTGCGAGATGCTGCTGGGTGGGCACCACGGGCGAAGGCGAGGCGCTGGCCTTGGGAGCCGCGCGAACCCGGCGCATCGCTCGGGTTTCGCGACGTTGCGCGGCTTCGACCTTCGCGAGGGACGACCGGGTCTGCCTGGCGCGAGGCTTATTCGCAGAGGTAGCTTTCTTGCATTTAGACGACTTCGCGGCCTTGGCGGACCTGGCCTGGCGCCTATCTTCCCATAAGCGCTTATGCTCGGTCTGCTCGTGCCTGCAAACCCTCGAGGCGTCCCAATGGGTAAACTCGCACCACTGACAGGCATGGTCCGTGATGCCAGCGCTGGAGAGGTGTGTGAGACACAGGATGAGTACATGCAGTAGCAGACGTACTGCTTGTTCTTGTGGCGCGTCAGGCTATTCATCGACCTCGTTCCCTTGATTGCCAGTTTATCTGTGCAACCCGGAACTTCGCAGAAATAAAGCCTGTTGAGAGTAGAAAGCTCTGATGAGCCAACAACCGATACCTAAGCGAGGCTGAACTGACGGTCCATCCGCATGAACGTTGAGAATGTGTCGGTTCAAGTCGGCGCCTCGGTTCAGGAGCCTTGGACAGTGAGGGCATGCGTGTGTACGATCCGAACATCCATGGTCTGCACAACGATGTTTCTGATGAGGTTTCAGTCAGACGGTGGCGGAGTTTGACAATAAGTGGCTGACTTGCCTCATATGAGTCAACCGTGAGACCCTGTACGAGTTTCGGCATGGCGGGTATGATAGCTGGTATGTGGAGTATGTCGCGTCGAGCTGGGTATCCCCGAGGAGAGGGGATGGAGATGTGTCTGGGGGGGCTCGAGTGGGGGAATGTAGATGCTGTTTCTCTCCCCCAGGTCGCAGCCATTTTATCCAGGCGAGCAAAGCTGAGCCACTCGAGTCGCTTTCCATAAAAGGCTGATTGATTTGCTCGAGTGGCGGAGGACTACGCTTTATGGAAGGCATCGGGGGAGGAGGAAGGGCGGATTGCCTAGTTTGGTGCCAATCAAGTACGCCTCGTGTTTTTCACCGGTCTTGATTGCTGTGGGAAAAACAAGTTTCCCTTCTATGGTGAAAAAGATGATTGTCAGTGTTTGCTCAGAACGCGTGCATTGTTTGGCCAACGACGGAGTGGCTCAATTTTAAACAATAGAAAACAACGACCCTTACCATACGAGGAAGCGTCGCTCGCAACGAGCAGCCTCTTCAATGACAGCTTGGATATTACTATAAAAGTCCATCCCGAGCGCTCGCCCACCCACTGCTGGTCCAATGACCCTCCGTCTGTACCATCCTCACTGAAGGGCTGAGGTCTGCACTTTTTGACGAGGGTTGTTCAGTGAAGAAGGCTAGTGCTAGCTCCTATGGGTCAGTGATTATCCGTCAACCAATGAATTGTTCCATTCAATGAGGAAGAGGATTTACCGATATGGGCACAGCGAGGTCCGCATCACTACGCGACATGAACACGTCCACGGGCCCACCACGGTGTATCCTTCACGGTGGGGTCCGTCATCTGCCATGCGCCTGACTTTGCGTTCTGAGAAGTGACAATGGTTTATAGGGCTCTGGCGCCGTGTCTGACCTTGAGCCGTCCCGACGCGTTTTTGCCACATTTGGTCAGATATGACGTCATGATAGCTGTGTTACTGTCGGGTCGGCGGGACTTCGTAGCTGCACAGTAAGGACTAGTTACGTGAAGGGTGGATAGACTATGACATATCGTTCAAGATTTTGCATGAATACCTCTGCGACAGCGCATGCTCTTCACTGAATGAACCCGTTCAACGTCGCGAAATACCCGACCCAGGCATCCTCTGCAGCACGTTTGACATCCGTGTCCGGACTGATATACTTTTGCTCTTGCATCCACGTCACAACCTGCTCAGCCTTCGCCCTACTAGCCGCCCAGGACGCGACCGTTTGCCTGATCTGCGCCCAAGCGGCGCGCGTTCGGAAGGGGTCGAACGAGGCGCGGTTGAAGCCGAGCCTGTCCGCGGATGCCACCAGGATGCCGATGTCGACATAGTCTTTCTTCGTGTTGGCCTCGCGCTGGGTCGCGCCCTCAATCTTGAGGACGAGGACGATGTGCGGGCGGAATGTAGGCAGCGCGGTGGGCAAGGAATCGAACTGAAGCTGCTCGACCGACGCCGCCGTGAACACCTGGGCAGCGTCCATGTAGGCCAGGAGGCGTGACGTAGAGAGCTCGCTGATATCGAATGACACGGCCTCAAGATTGCGATTGCGCGGATTCCCGATGTTATCGCTGCATGTGCGTGGCTAGGGTGAGATGGATTGGACAACATTGTGAACGGGAGTACGTACTGCGTGCGAATGAGGAGATACTTCGGGTTTCTGTCCGACCCGCTCCTGGTGAATGTGCCTCCGGGCGCACTGATCAGATCGTCCGAACCTTGGGGAAGGTAACCAAGGGCATTGAGCCTGTTCCAAGTGGCATCAAGACCAGCACATCTAATTTCCATGTCTACATCGTGGAGGACAGAGGACTCTAAAGTTAGGCTATCGAACCATGACGGTGGATGCTGCACTCATCTGCGTTTGCCTCCTGATGATATTGACAAAGTTCACGACATTGTTGGGCATTTGATTGATGAAGGGTCGCGTCAGGGCGGCGACGGCGACGCCACCAATAATGGCGAACTGGGCGCTGTTTGCCTGCTTCCGATTCAGCTCTGCCACGCCTTGAGCAAGGGCACGAACTGCGGTGAAGCAGTCCTCGACGTTGACTGGGATTTGATTGGACATCAGGTTGCGGGAGTAGTCCTCGAGAGCTACCGGTCAGGACTATGGGAAGGAGAAGTTATATATGCAAAGAGTCTCAATATATAGAGCACGAGTGAGGCCAAGTGACCAACAGGTGACAGCTGGCGTGGTGATCACAATGCGAACGCTGAATGACGAGAAACCTCTTTGCCCTTCTGATACCGTATTCGAGCGGATAGTTCTGCAACCAACGTGCACCCCACTCGACGAGAGCAAACCTTATGGAGACAGGATGGAGAAAGCCTGAGCGATTGTCCGAGCTGAGCATAAGCTCGATGGTCCTTCTCATCCCCGTCGGGTGACTGCTGAGCGCTGAGCATTGGCGAGCTTTCATATCAGCTCCAAGTTCGTGCGTCACTTGTGAGTTGTCGATGCACTACCATGGTCAGAGTCAGAGTGAACGGAACTTCGAATTCCTCTGACTCTGAGTAAAGTTCTCCGAGGTCATCGTCGCATGATCACGTGCACATTCCAACCCGCTCTGGCGTCGTCTTGTTTTTCGTCCATCTTGGTCTTAACGTCAGTCACTGTCGATGGTTATTTGCCATCTGTCGTCTCGCATAGGCGGAGCTGTCATGCACTCTCCAATAAACCCGGATGACTTCCCGTAATCCAGGAGGGATTACAGATCGTGTTGCATCCTCGGGAATTATGTGCCCATTTCTCTGACTGACTGCGGCTTCCAGCCGGCTCCGCGATGACTAGGTGAGCTCTTCTCCCGCTCCTGTGCGTGTTGGTTATAAGGTTTAGCTCATCCTGTCCTCTCGCCATAACCCAGCATGTCTGACAAGGTCACCGTCGAGAAGATCGCCACTCAATACGGGCTCGATACCACGTACGGCGCTTATGCCTGGCGCACGGTGTTGCAATCGCCGCTCGATAGCGAGCGATGCCGCTTGCTGGTGCGTATCGATCGATGATCTATGCATATACCCGTGATCGCGGACTGACACCGAGATCTATCCAGATCAGCAAGATCGCGAAACCCGACGTCGTCCCGCATCGCGTCCGGCAGGCGACGGAGCAGGAACCCAAGGTATTCCCTCCCCCTGTCGCGGCAGGCACCGACGTGTCCCGGACGCGCGATCCTCCCGAACCTGTCATCGTAAGCCACCCGCCCGTAGCGCAGACCCGTTTCCCGCACCCCCACCGCTGAACCCTCCCGCAGGCCGACTTCTTCGCGCACTACTCCGGCGCGCTCACCGGCGCGCTCATCTCGCACATCACCGCGCCGCACGCCTGGGCCGCGCTCGCGCGCCCGCTGCTGACGCTCGTCAAGGAATGCTCCTACCTCCCCGCGTGGGCCGCGCACGTGCGCGACGACGCGCAGGGCAAGCGCCTCCCGCTCGTCCTCCTCCGCGCGCTCGTCCAGATGATCGGCCGCGGCGCGTGGGCGCGCGCGCTCGGCGTCGACCCGGAAGAGGCCTTCGACGAGGAGGACAGGTACTCGCTGCTCAAGCACGGGAAGGAGGACGCGACGGCGGCGCTGCTCGTGCTGCCCTCGCTCGTGGAGCTGCTGCCGATCGTGCTGAACACGTTCAGGGCGCTGGCGGAGGCGGAGGCGGTGCCGGCGCAGAACGCGAAGGCGGCGGCGTATATGCGCGCACAGGTCGATGCGAATCTGGAGGTCATCAAGGAAGTCGTGCAAGTCGAGGGTCCTGGTTTGTGTTGGGACGAGCAAGGTGGCGGGACGGAGACGGGTGATCGTCTGGCGTGGATATACGAGGGATTGCAGGCGGCGAAAGAGGGTATACGCCCGTGACTTCCAGAGCCTTGCATACCGCACTGCACATTCACCTCTGTGTCGCTTGCGGGCGGTTTACGTACGGGAATTGGGGAGATAAGATAACGTGCCCCCGGTCTCTGAGAAGACAAGATCGGAAGTCTGCTGATCCCCCCGCTGATCTCCACAATAATGCATCCGTATGCGCGTCCCTGCGCGGTCTCTCTCCCTTTCGGGCACTAGGAATCTGCATAGAAGACTCCGGTCGGACATAAGATAGGCTGGGTGCCGTACGCGCGCGTGCGAGCGCGTCGCATTAGAAGGGAGGACCCGTGTGCCGGTCAGTACTGTTATATCTCTGTACGTGCATTGTGCGATCTGCCGTCTTCTATCTCACCGGCGGGGTGTAAAGGGGGGGGGCAGGCAGGCGTTCTGAATGTTGACGTGGGTCGGCGCGTTCCAAAGGTACGCGCGGATCCCAGAATACTTATTATCATAACGCGAGGTCCGACAACGAGGCCAAGGCTGCGAAAGCGTATCGCGTACTACAGGGGGTATCAACGATTCGGGAATCTGGATGAAAAAGGCGCGACGAGCGGGTTTCGCGATGTGGCCTGTGTGATGCGGTCGGAGGACTCCGCGGACATGTATGGTATTTACCTTATTTTTATTTTTTTTGCCTTGTGCACCCAAGAACGCGGGGTGATGAAGATGCATGTCTTACGGGCTCGGAAAAGCTCGAATAGGCCTGCTGATGGCGGCGGCGGCGGGCGTGTACGTGAGTTACGAGAGAGGGGAAGAAGGGGAGAGCTCGAATCTGGAAGGAAGGTGGGGGGGGGGGGGGCGGTTGGTGGTGGCCGG